TTGCAGTTTAATCCATCATATGAATTCCGTATGATATTGACTATCTTCTGAGGCACGCCGTAGTGTTGAAGAAGCTTCTATGGTGCTGTCCTGTCGACGCTATCAAATGCTTTTTCGTAGTCAATGAAGTTGATGTAGAGTGATGAATTTCATTCAACTGATTGTTCTACAGTGATCCGTGGTGTTGGGTTTTGGTCGGTACACGATTTGTCCTTACGAAATCTAACATGTTGATCTCGATGTTGGGCGTCTGTGGAGTCTTTCATTCTGTTTCACAATACCCTGTTGAAGACTTTTCATGGTATTGAGAGAAGAGTGATGCCCCTGTAGTTCTCACAGTTGCTGAGATCGCCTGTCTTTGGTATTTTGACCAGAAGTCCTTTCCAGTCCCTTGGTACTTGTTCCTCATCCCAAATCCTGCTGAAGAGAATGTGGAGTATCCTTGCAGTTACCGCTACGTCTGTTTCAGTGCCTCTGCTGGAATGTTGTTTGGTCCTGCTGCTTTGCCACTCTTGATTTGTCTGATGGCCATGCTGATCTCTTCAGTTGTTGGTGGGCCAACATCGACTGGAAGGTTCGTGGATATCGCTTCAATATTGGGTGTGTTCAGTGGGACTGGTCGATTCAAAAATTCCCCGAAGTGTTCTATCCACCTTTTTCTCTGTTCTTTAATGTTGGTGATTACTTTGCCTTCCTTGCTTTTCACTGGTCGTTCTGGTTTACGATAATTTCCAGCCAGCTTCTTTGTTGTATCATACAATTGTCTCATGTTTCCCTCTCTCACGGCCTTTTCCGCCGTCATTGCTAGATCTTCCACATATTTACGTTTGTCAGTTCTGATGCTCCTCTTCACTTGCTTGTTTACTTCTGTGTATTCAGCTTGCGCCTTGGCTTTCTCTTCTCTTGTTCGACTGATATTGATTGCTTCCTTCTTGTTCCTCCTTTCTTGAATCTTATACAGTGTATCAGCAGTGATCCATTCCTTGTGATGGTGCTTCTTGTGGCCCAGAACCTCATGACATATTGAAGTGATTGCATCTTTTATCCCTTTTCAGTTGTTCTCCATAGAAGTTCCCACTCCATTGAGTAGATCATTAAAGGCCTGGAACTTATTGCCGAGGACCATCTTGAATTTGTTGAGTTTGTCAGTATCCCGAAGAAAAGCCGTATTAAACGTTTGTGATATTGCCTGCCCCGTTGTCCAGTGCTTCTTGAGTTTCAATTTCATCTTGGCGACCAGCAAGTGGTGATCTGATGCTATATCAGCTCCTCTCTCGGTTCTCATATCCTCCATCGTCCTCCTGAACTTATTGTTGATGCAGATATGGTCGATTTGGTTTTGCGTTGTGTAGTCTGGTGAAGTCCATGTGGTTTTGTGAATGCATTTATGTGGGAATATGGTGCCGCCTATGACAAGTCTATTGAAGGCACATAGGTTTGCAAATCTCTCACCATTTTCGTTCCTTTCTCCCAGTTCGTGTCGTCCCATGGTGTCTTCATATCCAGTGTTGTCCGTTCCAACCTTGGCGTTGAAATCTCCCATCAGAATGGTCAGGTCTTTTGTTGGACATTTCTCGACGATTGACTGCAGCCTATCGTAGAATTGATCTTTAGCGTCTTCATTGTAGTCGTTGGTAGGCGCATAGCATTGGATGATGTTCATTGAAATGTCCTCTTTCTTTGTTTTGAAGGAGGCTTTGATGATCCTTGGTCCATGAGATTCCCATCCTATAAGTGCATTTTGTGCTTGTTTGGACAGCATCAATGCAACTCCTTGTGTATGTGGTGCATTTTCTTCTTCATGGCCGGAGTATAACAGGAGATCTCCTGAAGTTAGTCGTTGTTGTCCAACTTGTCTCCAATGTGTTTCACTGATCCCAAGCACCTCTAGGTTGTATCTCCTCATTTGTGCAGCAGTTTGGAAGACTCTCACGGTCTCCCACATTGTACGAGTATTCCATGTACCTAAGTAAATGGTTCCTCTGGTTGTCAGATGGAGCATCGACCTCGTGACTTTCGAGAGAACTAGGCTTTCATCATGAGGCGTCATAGTTCTTTTAATGAAGACTTTTTCGCTGCCTGTGATTAGCGGCTTTGGGTCACAACAGCTATATCGTAAGTCAGGTTGAACGAAAACATCAGTTGGTTGCGATCGAGGGGAAACATGTCTAACTGAACGCATTGCCTTTGTAAGCCTTCTTGTATAGGCTGTTAGATCCATGTTCATGGAAGAAGGTGAAGGATCCACGAATTCTCCTGGAAGTCGAAGTGTCGCTCCATAAATGAGCTAAGCTTCAGTGTATCGAATGTCATTTTTCACTGCGTTGTGAATACCAAGTAAGAGATAAGAGTATCCATTTGAATCTTGTAAAGGTCCTACAAGATCTAGCTTACACAGGAGCGTGCCCACTACCTCACGTCTTTATTTATAACAGGCCAGCAAAACCGTTCTGCTATGAGCTTGATGGTTGCACGAACAACTGGATGAGAAAGTTTATGCAACGTACTGAAGACGCTGCGTCGATAATGTTTCGACAAAATCGAACGATGCCTTCCTGTAGACTTGTCGTACAACAAGGTTTCCTCACCTGTCTTCATCTGTTTGATACGCCGTTTTAGGGCTGTTGGAGATAACTTGTGTTGAATATCAGTGTTTTATTTTTTAAGCTTGGCGGGTTGTAGAACATCGATTGCTTAGGAACTTTTCAAGGAAGTTATACGAGACAATGAGTCTGCAACCACATTGTTTGCCCCAGAAATGTGTTGTATGACTGAAGTAAACTGGGAAATTCAGTCCAGTTGTCGAAACTCTCGAGGTGAGCGCTTGTCTGAAGATGAGTTTAAAGAAAAGGTAAGAGATTTATGATCAGTGAAAAGAGTGAATTCTCGGCTTACAATAAAGTGGTGAAATCGCAGTACAACACAATATATAGCCAGAAGTTCCCTACCGAAAGTGCCATACCTCGATTAAGTGTCTAGCAACTGTCTCTAGAAAAAGGCCAAAAAATGCGAAATGTAGTTAATCCATTGTTACAAGACTCCTCCGATTGCTGAGTCGGGTGCGTCTACTGCGATACTTGTGGGTGCTTGTGTGTCACGGTGTGTACTCATGGCTGGTTTTGAGATCAGGTCCTTAATTTCAGAGAGTGTTTTTCTAGCGGTATCGCCCAAATTGATAGGTTTTGCATTTCCACGAAGTTGGTTAGTTAGAGGTTTCATAAGGGACGCTCATTTTGGTATGAACCATCCATAGTGTTTACTAGTTAGTTAATTGTGCGTGATTGCTTGATTATGGTCGGTTCTAGGTAGTCCAGAATGGCCTCCACTTTGCTTCTTAGAGGTCTGATGCCTCGACCATCAATAGTGTGTACGAGGAAATCTGGGGAGTTAGTTCCGATTTGGCATTTCCAAATGTTTACAGTAATGCCGTGCTTTTGCAGTCGTTCGAAGACAGGGTCTAGATGCTTCTTAGTCCGGACTTGCAAACAAGCAGTCATCGACGTACGAATGTACGAAGTTGAGACCTCAAAAAACATCATCTATGAACATTTGGAAGGTTTGGGCACCATTTCATAAACCGAAAGGCATGCGCAAAAACTCGTAGACGCCGAAAGGTGTGATGATAGCGGTTTTAGGAATGTCGTCAGTGGCCATACAAATTTGGTTATAGGCTTTAACCAGGTCGATTTTCGAATAGACAGCTGTACCTTTCAAGGTTTCTGTCAAATTGTGAATGTGGGGCAACGGGTAACGATCAGGAATGGTTTTCGCATTCAATCGCCGATAGCAGCCAGTCGGATGCCAATCGTTGCTGTTATTTTTAGGGATCATATGCAAAGGCCATGCTCATGGGCAATTTGACGGCTGAATGATTCTTAAATCTACCATGTGGTCGAATTCGTTTTTAGCTAACCTCAGCTTTTCAGGAGCCAGTCGACGTGCTTTCGAGAATACAGGTGGTCCCGTAGTCGTGATATACTGTTTAAGATTGCTGGATACACACGGTAATTTCGGTTGCCTACTGTATATCTCAACTTATTGAGTATTTGTTGGTGGTATGGGTCGATTGTGCGTCTTACTATGACTGAAGATAATCTACGGGCCGAAAAATAAGTTACATCAACAGACAAATCAGTGTTTCCATCTACTAACCGGATCGTGAAGTCGGTCGTTAAAATTTGTTGGAAGAACACTAACTTCTGCACTAGTGTCGACGAGGTAGCGAACTTTCGTTATCACATCAGTGACACATAACAGACAGCTGTATTCTCCGGCTACGTTTGCCGTGGGAAGTTTCCCGAAAAATAACACTAGCAAGAATGGCGACGAAGACAGCTGTACTGATCACAAGACTCAATTTCCGATGAATAATTGTTCTGCCAGACTGAAATACAACTATTAAGTAACTTTGAGTTTCCAATATCCATTATTATAAGGAAGGCGTTGCATCGGGGTGAATAACATCAGTGGTGATGAATCAAATCTCTTCCGTACTAATCTGGTACGAGTAGGCAAGGGAGTTATTCGCTTTTCCAACTTAGTGGTTTTCGCAGTACGTGCAGTTAATTTCAAAGACGACGTCAAACCAGCTAAAACAAAATCAGAACAATCCTGCCAAGCTACAAATATCCAGCGTTCCAACCTAAACGCCTCTTCTCGGGAAATGGAAAGTATATAATGGGAGAAAGATGAAGTTCATTATTTAGTGTTTTTCACTGTATGTCTAAATGCGATACCTTCCGTAATAAAATACCCCAAAATAACTCAAATTCTGGGTGGAGAAGTCGGGATTTTTGAGTTTTTGGTTTGAAGTAAAATGTTAGAGTCTCATAAAGCATATGAAATAGACCCATCTTTCCTAATGAAGCCAATTTGCACTAGGTCTTCGTAATGACATTGGACACCTTATGAAGAACAGTGAACTATATACAGGAGTGAATTAAAGATTATTTGGATAGCAGAATCAGTAAAAATAAGAGTCATTTTTTAATGTTCTGCAGTCAAGGGAAACAAATAGGACTCATACCGGGCTGACCAATGGGTGCACTGTTGTTGTAACACCTGTCGGCGCCATCTTCAGACATCCACTTTCGGGTTTTGGTGTTGGTACGTATCGCTTTACTTCGTGTCTCACTAACATTTATTCAGTCAGTATATTTGACCAAAATGAATATCTTGCATACTATAGTATGTGATATTGCTCCAGATATGCTCCGTTCTGTGCCGATTCCAAAGTCTTTTAGAGACATTTTCCGTCTATCATGTAACTTATTAAAATATATTAATCACGTTCGCAGTAAAGGATGTGCTAGCCCTCACTGTTTTCGGCTCATTCAGTGGGGCCATCGGCTATGCTGTATACACTACTGTAATGCTTCATCTTGGAAAACGGAGGATCCTTATCAATAATGATATTCGGAAACATATTACTAAATGTGTTGACGTTGTAGATATTGAGTCCATAACAGATAAAAAGGTGTACTGCCGATGCTGGAGATCATCTAAAGTATGACATTTGATGACGTTTAACTTTTTTCCAGTTTCCTTATTGTGACGGTGCACATAACAAACATAACGAGGAAACTGGAGACAACGTTGGCCCGCTCATAATTGAGACCAAAAAGTCATCGTAATGAGTCTGGACACAAATTAGTAATAATTTCCTGATTGCTCCGTAATTGTAGCCGCAATTTCGTAATTACCTCAACTGTGTTTTATTTCCAGTTTTAATTTGTTTTATTAAACGTAACAGCATTTTGACATAATACCCAGTGAAATACATTGTTAGCAAATGAACTGTTTCTGCTCTTTTTACTAAATGAAGTTAGGTCTTATTATGAAAGCCAATTATGAAAATTTAAACTGTAAATTATCTGGCCGTAACTTCATTAGGATAGAATATCTTTATAATTACCCCATCACGTTGAGCAAGTGAATTAAAGGTAGTTGAATGGGGAAAAAAAGCCTATGTAGCTCTCGGTTTTCGTCCCTGACCGTTCGATTTCGTGTGGGATGGGATTGGTAATCCCATACCCAACCTTCCTTTATCCGGACTAGAAACTGGCATTAAACCTAGAGGGGCCCCAAGCGGAGTTATAATCAGTCACTACGCAAGATCAGTTACTAACATGTACCACCATCATTTCTGTATTGCTATGTAGAATCTCCTTAGTATTTACATAACATTTATTTGTAACTTATTGTTACCTGATGCTCCCACCTTAACGTTCATTAAATAATAGAGGTCTAAGTTGCTGTTAAAGATGCACACAAGTCTGTATTTGTAACGTCTATCCGTTTAGTTAATTATATGCAGCTGACAACGTGGTAAGGAAATATGTATTGGTTCAGTTTTCTCAGCAAGATAATTTATTCCAGGAAGTTTTCCACTAAGTAGCTCTCATGACTTAAATAGTTGGACTAGCTTAATGACTTGTGTATTCAACTTGTGGGTTGGTTTCTCATGCTTTGTGTCGTTTTATTGATGAACATCATTATGATCTATACGTTTTCAATAATGTACCATTTCTTGTACTAACTACATAACTATTCGGATAGTAAAATGATATCACCATGTTTTTCACCAATAAAAAAGATATCTTCAGATGTAGAAATGAGTCATAGTATTTAAAAAACTTATGAGGTAGTACATCGTGGCACTAATATGAAGAAAAGGCCGAACAAGTTTCTCATAACTGAATGATCTCTTGTCGTATTAACTATGGTCTGCAGGTTAACCGTTACTTTGGCGACTCAATAGGTTTAAGGTTACAGACAAATATTATTAGGATGTTCATTTATATTGGTACAAAATATTTCACACCTATACTTTTATTTCATGCCATTAATGTTGATTAGTCTATCAATCAACTACCATAGAACTTAGGTTTTTCGGTCTAAATAACCAACTTTCAGTCTGTAGATAGTATGTTTTAATCTTGCTCTACTGACTGACGTTTAGTCAACCAGTTAGTATCATTAACCTTTAAATGATGAATAAAAAAGCACAGTTTAATATGCAAACATGAAAATATTTGCTAAATCTCGATACGTGTATTAGCACTTATCAATTCAAATGATGTTATAGTTGGGAAACACGTTATTTCTAACCGAATAACAGTAGAATATGAAAGGGGATATCGATTATTCAGAATGGTTTATTGACATGTTACAAATATCTATAGTTTAATGGGGGTTTAGCATGCTTCCGTTGATTTTTGTTTTTCCAGAGTAAGTGGCATCCATTTGTTTATTAAATTTCAACAAAATCATTGGACTAGTTTATTATACTTGAATCTAAATCTTCTTAGCATGTCATTTTTCGAACTGCTACTTCCAAATAGTTGGCGATTGTCACTTGGCCAGCTTACAAGATACTCAGGTTATCACATCTGAACGTACAAACTCCCATTGATACCTTTTCTTTACTACCGTCTGGGTCAAAATGAATAGGTCACTCATATACTGCTGGATATTTGTGGCAGCTAGACAGTCCAAAAGTCCCATTTGTAAACGATTTGAACAAATACAGGTAGTCGTTCATATGGGCTGACATCTTTCAAATAATCTGAAATAGTACCAATGCCAGACAATCCTCCACGTGTTCTCAAAGCGATAGGCTAATTGTAAATGGCTCTGTAATTGACAATTTTTCACCTGTCCAAGTTGTGACATCGTCAAAGTAGGTTATAAATCTGTAAAGGGAGAAATACCAACTTCAGCAGAGAACTAGATAGTAAATGGAATTAAGCAGCGGAGGATAAGTAAATCGGGATCTCCTGCTGCAAATGTAGAATAATAATTGGTCTGACCTTGAAGAGAGGTCCTAATGTAAGTTAGTTTACACAGGCTACCTTTTTAGGTTAAATAAGGTCTCCATGACTACCTGAACGCCACAAGTAAATCATGATAGTGTCCGAAGTCTGCTGCGTTAGATCCAGATTTTACAGTTTACCAACAAATTCCTGCTTCGTGACTCATTGATAGCTGATGCTGAATGCATTTCCACCGCACTTCTGATGACTAGATTTGTTGCACAATTGACCGTTAGACTGTCCGTAAACATAACTTCTCAGTAACTCTCATCCAACAGCCACAGTCCCTAATTACCAGTCAATCTTAGTATTTTCCCAAATCTTGACTCGATCTGACGTTTTATTACCAAACTGCTATGCATAATTTATGATGTAAATTTGTCCGTCAGTCAAGAGGGATCAGTAAATTACTTAATGCCATATTCCCATCAATGTTAGATCACACAATTTGAAACTGGAAACATTTCACCAAAAGATTAAGGGTTTTATTTAAACAAATATTGATACAAGGGGTATCAAATATATATGCGCCACACAAATCATTCAATTTGTGTGAGGCTGGGATACTGCTTGGGCGTCCAAAGCAGGTCGTTTTCTTACGGAACCGCTCCATGAGCCTTTGACCTAGAGGTCTGATCCACAAGGCAGTGGAGCAACGTTAGGAGGTGAAGTTCTATGGTCACAGTAATCGGTCTACGATGACTTACCTATGTTGTGTTATTTGATCGCTGGTACTAACCAAAGTTTGTTAATAATTGTAACGAAGTAACCGCTAAAGTAGTTCAGTACAGTTATATACACTTCGAAGAAAATTAACACCTATGTCTTGAATGATGAGTGCCAGTAAACAGGAGACCTGAAACTACGCAATATGTATGTCGAGATTAAATGTTTAACTTGGCTACCTAATTTATATTTCGTTGTTATGTTCATCGTTATGAAGCGATAAATATAAGAGTTGTGATGAAACCCTCAACCAGTGGTCTTAGAGTATGCAAAATCGATGGTCAAGATTTATCATTATAAACACTTTAGTAAGATAAAGTATCCGAATCCTTCGATGCGTGTCGGTTATTTAGCGTGTGTAGTTACTTACTAATTAGTAGTTTTAACTAGTCAACTGACCGGACTTGGGTATTAACGTGAGCTCACTTTGCCATATAAAGTTTCATAAACTCGCTAATATGTGATTTGATAGGGCATAATCGATAATAAAACAATTAGTTACTCTCATACAAAATTTACATCGCGAAAAATATATCATTAAGTGTTGAACAGGAAAAGTGGCTTATGACTAGTCAATGAAGCTGGTTTCCATATACTATAACTTGTGCCCTATTAATATATAACGTATTGATACCGCCAATTAGAGAACAGTGACTAATCAACCGGACCAACGACGCAAAAACCCGTACGAGCAGTCTAGAGACCTTATCGGTCCTTCTTCCTGCTTAGCCCTGCCTGTTGAGTCCAGAACATCATTCTCAGCCTCTGAGATATGAATCATGTATCTCAAACATATTGGGTTTATATTCCAACCAAACAGAAAACAACATTTGTAAAAGATCTAACCAAAAGTGACTGTGAATGTGGGACATAATTGATAGACTGGGCATACCTCAAGAACGGTAAATCGTATAATAATAGTCTATGGATCAAAATAAAGCTTATGATAAGAGGAACACGAATATTCATAATTTAGCTACTTAACAATTATACAATAAAAACATATGTATCGTATTCGCTCATAAATAGTTCTTAAAAGTTATCATCCATAATTCGCGTCGTGATATAACACCAAATATCAGAGTATGTTAAAAATTTCTCTTTGAAATACAGCCCAGTGAGAGATTAGTAGGTAATAAATTCTTTTGTTTAAATGGCACCCATCAGTTGTCTATACGGCCCAAATAAAATGAGACAGGTGTTTTTCATTTTTAAGCTACAAATACGAATAATCAAACCTGGTTCAAGTCAATTGAAATTTTGCTGAACTAGTTTGTAAGCAAATTATCCATGCAGAAAACTGTGAATACAAATGAACAGTTATTGAGTGTTGTGTTTCTAACGAACAAACCGAGAAATACTCAAAATGCAACCACAAGATAAATATAAGCAGAGACGTTGGTGGCTAGCAGTGGAATCCAGGACGCGCATGTTGTTGTGTTTGGGACTTTTTAACTGGGTATGTCTGCATCCTCAAATTGATATTCACTCCGAGACTCGAACAATATATACGATTCATACAGCGGAGGCTGATATTTGTGTTCTGGACTGAAAGGGCTGGGATAGGCGAGAAGCTAACATACAAAGGATCAATAAGGACTGAAAGTTGACTCTTGGCTGCTCGTGCTAGTTAACGCAATACTGATTTAGCATAT